GGGGGGGAACGGAGGTCTGGTCACTGACAACAGCGCCGACTCGGCCTCCAGCACCCTGGGGCCTCGGCCATTAGAATACATAATGCAGGGCTAGTCATTTGGAAGGGCTCCAGATCGTGCTCTTCAAAACCCCTTTAGATAATTTGCTACATCACATCTTCATCATCCCCCCTCTTTCCCTCCCACCAACCAATCCTGTCACCCATGATTGAACACAGAGCCCCACTACCTCCCCCACCCAGACCTTCCTTGAATCCTGGCCTTGACCTCACAAGCACTTGCTCCCCATCCTGCCCCTTCACTAAACCAGCACCCCACCACTGAGCCCGTATCAGTCCAGACTGGTCCAGTCAGTGGTGGCCGGTGGCAAGTTGAACCACCCCGAGGGCCAGCAGGGCTGGGGCCCCAGCTGAGGAGCTGGGGCAGCTGCCAACCACCGGCCACTTCAACCCTGTCTGTCCGGATGATTGCGTTTGTCAAGCCGCCACTCCGTGTCAGCTGGGCGCAGGTCTGATCACCAACAATTAGGGGTTAAAGAGAGGGAGGGGGTGCCATCTCTGGTGGTGCAGAGAGAGGAGGTAAAAGTGAGGGGGTGTGGGGGTCTTCCTTCCTCCACCCTGGCACTGAAGAAGCAGGTGCTGTTTTTTGGCATTTGGTGACAATTTGGTGGGACGTTCCTCTCATTAGTCCACTGTCGCTGCGGCCCACGTCTCTGTTCTGTACATCCACACACAACTTTGATTAAATCAGCCACAGAAAATGTGGGATGTGTTGTTGTTGTGACCCCCTGTAACCCCATGAATGGAAGCAGTCATACTGCATAGGCATAGCGGCTGACAAACTGACAAAACCGAGGCCTCATACAGCTGGAGGGCCACAGACAAATTTACCAATGTACCCCATCTTAATACCAAAGTCTAATTTATTTCAAGACTATATATATGCACAGATAAAATTAGTTTTATTGTTTAATATAAACGATGTTATGTAACAAATTTACAAAACAGATTCTTTTGAGAATAGACTCTCAAAGGCTATGTTGGCCCAAATCAGATTTTTTTGCTCATTTGTGACTCAGGTCTGTTTTTTTCATGACAGTGTGAACAGCACCAATCACATGGATCTTTTCAAATTCTGATTCGAGCCATTTTCATATGTAATCCTAGATCAAATACAGGTCGGATATTTTTTTACCAAAGTGTGAACAGTCATGTCAGCATCCATGTGGCTTTTATGTCACTCTAGATCTATTCTAGATCGATTTGTCATGCGGGTCAGTTCAGGACCACGACCTGTTCACACTGGAATGTTATATGGTGATTTGACATTTATAAAATAATGTGAGCCTGAATTGACCTCTAAGGCTTGCAGATCATGTTGTACAATTTCTATTGTCCAAATTAACAATAATAAAAAACAAAAAGATTTATTTGTATTTATATCTTTAGATATTTGTATGTAATCAGATATTTTGCCATATCATATATCAATATCAGAAAATGTTTTTATTCTTATCACAATATGTAGACACAACTGGTGGATAATTGAGAGGTCTTATTTGAGAAGACAGGCAGCAGACCTTGGAGTCGCTGCTCACATCTCAGATTTTTCTGGCATTTCAAATACGCAATGAATAATCCAAGTAAAACCAAAACAGTCATTCAGCCGATTATCAAGCTACTAGCTGAGCCCTGACTGTCCAAACTAAATTTTAGCAGAATCAGAGTTGTTTATGGACCCTACAGGATAAGTCTGTGGAAAAACTACAAATAGACGTGGGGCTTCACCAGACACTTTTATCTATGACACTGGCTCCCTCTAGTGGTTCTGATATAATGCTGCAAACATAAAGAAAACCTCTATTCAAGAGGTCAGCAGACCAAGACACCTTACTGTCAAGATGGACACAGTGTGAGGTTATTCTGCATGCTGTTCTGCTCCCACCACATCAACATTTTGCTTTCAATACAAACACCATGGGAGTGAATGACTGAGATCATTAGAGGCAACAACCAGAGTTATTATAGTTTGTGTGTTTTCCATTAGTTTTTATTTTTGTTTTAGGTTCAGTTTAGTTTCAGTTAGTTTCCAGAGTGGGTTTGCTTGTTTCAGTTTAATTGATTCGTTTTTTCCATTATAATATTTATCAGGGGCAAGATTTATGAAGTTCAGAATAGGTATTACAATACAAACACATTGACTCAAGTCTCAATAAACGGATGCACCAACGCTTGTTGTGTTGACAAATTTGACCAAATCGACAAAAACTAAGGACATTTCCAGATATATGCTCTTTGAGTTAGTTTTGTTAATACATGTTATTGTTCGTTAGTTTTGGTTCTTATTCTAAAGTGTAGTTTTTAGATTTCAGTAAACTGTAAAAATGTTTTGTTCACACTTCGTTTTAGTTTTCAGTTTAGTTTTAGGTAACTAAATGTGCCTAATGTGACCATCAAAGCTATGTTTCAGACTACAGTGGCACCATCACCATCACCATCACCACCACTGCGCACCTATCGAGCAGTCCTGGCTTTTGGGCGAGGAGGCAGACCCTGGTCTTTAGCTATGCTGGGTTTCTGTTTAGCTCTGCTGGGTGGCTGTCCTGGATCATCAGTAGGATGTGGACCTTTAGCCAAGAGGAAGTGCTCCCAGGCCGGGATGGACTCTTCCACAGACACCCAATATCTTGTCTAGAAAAAAAAAAACGAGATAAAGCTTACTGTTAAAAAGTCACCACGTCTGACTCTATCATGCAGTTATTCAGTCTAAAGTCTAAAAGAAACTGCTTTAGAAAATAGTCAGCACTCACATTAAATATACATGATTTGTAATTATGGTGCTTAAGTGATATTCTATTTTAGAATCTCACATAAAGGCATTTTAATTCGTTAATGTGAAGCTTTAAATGCTGAGGCCTTAATACTCATTATCAGTTACATTGATGCTTTAAAACTGCCAAAAGCAGCGTTGGTCTGTAAACAGTATCTCTTGTAAGAAAATCTATAAATATTTATTTTACACCATTGCACACCAAGCTTTATTTTGAAAAGAAAAAGGCTTCTTATTCATGCCACGAGATTTTAGACTGATAATTGCCACAAGTGGAACAATAATTTCGAATCCTCTTTCAGCTACCGTAACAACAACTTGTTACCTCCAGAGCCAAGAGATTTGGCCGTGGCAGCTGTCTTCCTCTCAGACGATCCTCTATCTTCTGTAAGTCCTGCAGTAACAGAGAGCTAACACTTATCCACACACTCTTTCATCTTTATGCAAATCTTGGTCCTACAAGTTAGTCAATTAACCTCAATATTTATCTAAATGTTTAAAATGTAACATTAAAATGAGCCCTACAATGAGTTAATGGATTACACAGCCACAGTAGATTTACCTCTAATGGCTTTACACTGTTAACTTAAAAAAATATCATTTTTTGTACTCTTGTTTAGACGGTAGGAACAATATACAATATTATCCTGCATCGTGAATAAAAACTATCCGATAAAATTATGGTGGTGAATTTGCATTATGGGAATAATCAGGGAACGGGATGATCGTCAATATCCCCACATGGATTGACTTGAAAAAGTCATTCCAAAATCTAAGGCCCCAAGAAGAGCACTGGGATTTGAAGCCGATTTTACATAGTGGTCAAACCATGCAATTAGAAACACAAATACTTTACTTACATTTGAAAATCACACCCCCTGTGAAAGGACTCCTTTCACTATTAGAATATGATCCATTCAGTCTAGGGCTGCACGATGTACTAAAAGCATTCTATTGCAATGTTTTTTGTTTGTACAGATATTGCGATTTCAATATGATTCACAATTGGTGCAGGAATGATACTTTTTTATCAGAAATTAAATTTCCCTGAAAAAAACTATTAAAATCATGATGATGTTTTTGTTGTAGATCTGCAGGCCAGACTACAGTACTTCATTATAATGCTGTTTGTTACACATTTGACCTTTATTAAGAAACTGCTTCTGCCATTTGGATATTGCACTTTGCCGTATTGCGATTTCAATAATGCTTCGATTGTTTTGTGCAGCTCTTATTCAGTCCGATAACATTTGGAAATCATTTTATGCCCTTCCTTTGCAGCAGGAAGTGTCTTTTTGGCTCCATGCACCACTGAGCAGCTCTCCCAGGAATGAACAGATTGCTGCCTCCAACACTGTATCCAGAGAGGGAGATGACATGTCCCATCTGAGATGCAATACAAATATTTGCTTCTTTACGAACTTGCAGTATGTTTTACTGCCATTTTCAGAATTGGAATTCTATTTTGATATATCTCGATAACACTGTGCTGTAATTACTTTAGCCAGGAAAATTATGACATTAAATGTTCATATCATATCATTTCATATTCAGTCTGTACGTGTCCACACAGTCCCGAGAAGAGCTCTACTCAGCCAAAGTGTGAGTGAAGCACAGGCAGTGTGGGAGCTTCAGTACATGCAGTAACATCAGGGCTCTTCAGCAGTGTGTGATATGAGCCCGTCCTACCTGCAGCAGGGTGGCGTTCCTGTGGCCAGCGGCCTCTGACTCTTTCACCCGCTGCTTCCTCTCCACGTTCATCCGCTCTCTGCCACTCTCCATCCGCTGCAGCAGCTCCGCCCTCCGCCCTAAACTGAGGAGACACACAGAGGAGACACACAGAGGACACACACAGAGGAGACACACAGAGG